TATCTTTTCTGATAAAAGGCATTATTAAGCTATATAACACTATTGGATTCCCTTTCTCAGAGCTGTATCTTCCTTCCCCGGTACTTAAATTCTTTAGGAGTTTTAAATTAAGTACATTCATGAATGTTCACAGACTATATTTAAGGAAAATAGTACATTCACAACAATCTATATGTAATTTGATTTCTGTGGTTTAGATTCAGAGCAAATTTGGTGGCACAGTAAATGGCATGCTTAGCTTTTATATTTATGTTTATCTAACTTCTCAGCTAGATTTAGTGCCCTCCAAAACCCTCAAGAGAAGTGTGGGTAAAATACAAAGATCATCAGATGAATGCAACAAAGTCAGAACATTATCAAATCAAATCACTTTTACTTTCACCCAAAAAGTTGAAAAAGTATTATTAGCTTAGTTCTTATTACTGAATTGCTGAAGGGAGAAAACCAAGATAAAAAACAAGCTTCGGAGGAAATCATCTTTGCATTTCCAGTGTCTAATACAGTATCTAGTACTTGGTATGTATTCGGTAAAAATGCATTGAATAAATATATGGTTGAAGGTATTAATCTGTGTTTCTGGGCTTGCAAGTTTCTTGATTTGCAGGAAACTGTCTTGGTATAAAAACAGAACATGACCAGAAATTCACGCCCAAAATGTGATATAATGAAGAATACTTCTGGTCTTTGTCCCCTATTTCTTGCATAGAACTTCAAAAACACTTTAAACTTCCTGACTGATTGACGTGTCTTTGTTATGCTAATTAGGAGCCTCAAAGTGAGCTCCTACATAGTTTCAAGGGAAGAACTGGCCACACCAAAAGGACCAGGCACATATTTAGAGGGTAGGAACTTCTAGCCCTACTCCTCTAACCTCCAGGGAGGGGAGAGAGACTGGAGATTATGGTTAGTCATGGCACATGATTTAATCAATCATGTTTAATTAAGTTCCTTATAAGAACTCTGGACGTGGAGCTTAGTGGAGCTAACTGGTTGGTGAAGTTACAGATATACTGGAAGAGTGGTGCACCCTGATTCTGTGGGAACAGAAGCTCCTCCATGAGGGACCCTCCTAGACCTTGGCCTTTGTATCTCTTCATTTGGCTGTTCATTTGCATCCTTTATAATAAAACAGTGACTGTAAGTACAGAGCTTTCTTGAGTTCTGTGAGTCGTTCCAGCAAATTATCAAACCTGAGAGGGTTGTGGGAGGCCTTGAATTTGTAATTATCCAGGCAGAAGTAGAGGTAGCTTGGAGACACCTGAAATTTGTAGCTGGGGTTTGAAGTGAGGTAGTCTTGGGACACTGAACCTTAACTTAACTTCTAGAATCTTCATTAACTCTAGGTAGTTTCAGAATTGAATTGAATGGAGGCACATCCAGTTGGTGTCAGAGATTTGGTATTAGAACACACAAAATTACAAGGAAATCTTATACATCTTGAGTATCTGCAGAAAAGTTTTTCTGATATGGATCAATAAAAAAATTAAACATTATAATACTAGGAATCATGTATTTTATGAGACAGCTATATATAACAGCAAGTACATTGAAAGTAACCCTTAATAATTACTTAACCTTGGAAAATCACTTGACCTTGAGGATTCCCAGTTTTTACATCTTTAAAAATGAGGATAATGATGCTTACCTGTAATGGTTAAATTTATGTGTCAACTTGGCTGCACAATAGTGCCAAATACTTGGTCAAACATTATTCTGGATGTTTCTGTGAGGGCAATTCTGAGTAAAGCAGATTGCCCTCCACTATGTTGGCGGATCTTAACCAAAGCTGAAGGTCTGACTAGAACAAAAGAATAACTTGTCCTGAGCAAGAGGGAATTATGCCAGCAGACCACCTTCGGACTTTGACTGCAACACTGGTCAACTCTTCACCTGAATCCCCAACCTGCTGGCCCACATAGTGGATTTGGAATTGCCAGCCTCATCTCTCTCTCTCTTTCTCTCTCTCTTTCTTTCTCTACACACACACACACACACACACACACACACACACACACATCCTATCAATTCTGTTTCTCTGAAAAACTTTGATTAATATACTACCTCATCTGGTTATTATGAGAATTAAATGAGATAATGTATTTGAAATCACTTTGTGAATTTTAAAGCATTATAAAACATAAGGATGGTTAAGTCTGCCTAGTACATGTAATGCGTACCAAACTTTGTTGAGGCTTTATAGACGTATAAATTAATGTTTAGACATATGGTCTTAGATCAATGTTATAGGTAAATAGATTTAAAATGTCATAGAAGAAGCTACAAAATAGCAACAAGTAGGGAGGGAAGCCTACTGGACTTCTGTTTTGCACTGGTGTAGCATTTGTTGCCATAGGGTATAACTCCACGTGGACTACAAACCATGGCTTAATTGGCTTAGTTCAATATACGTGCCCAGCATCTGGCACGGTGCTTTGCATAGTCACTGTACAGATAATTGTTGATGAGTAAGTGACTTCTCTCTATGTGATCACCCAAAAAGTACATTTCGTGAGTGACTAGGTAGAAAGAATTAAATACTTCAGAGATGGTATAAAGCCTGGAGGGTTAGAAAGTATGTTAGAAAGTCACGCCCTCTGAAGAGTTAAATATTAATGAATGATGGTCTCTATGTTAAATAGAAGAGGTGGGACCTTGGTCTGGTTAGGGGTAGGCCAAAGTCATGAACCCAGAATGTCCCAGTGAATAAAGCCACAGCCAGACCTCACCCTCTGAAACTAATGACTTTCCTTCCTTGGACCTTTGCTGAACTTTGCATAACCGCAAGGTACAAATATAGCTTGGAGGAAAAAATCCGGGCCACTGCACTAAATAAATAGTTTTAAACTCTAGGACAGTAACTAGAATGCTATTTAGCAGCATAGCAAACACTGCTCAGTGTCACTTGTCAACTTAGATTGACATTTCTTGTAGCAGTCAGTGGTTAGTCTGGATTGCATTAGTATGCATCACAACTCTATATATTGTGGTTTATGTGGGCAGATATTTTGAGGCTTGGCTGTGGAAGAATATGGCTGCTTTTAAAACATTCTAGGCAAAAACTTCAGTCTGAGAAAGGAGACCAGACTTTTAGTCTTGCTGGTATTTTAGGAAGTATGTCATCATAATGATATTTCCAGGCTGCTCTGGATGTGGCCAGTAATGGAGAGACCATCAACGCGGCCTGTCTTAAGTTAAAACAACAATGGGATACTATTTTCTACTTATAAAATTGGAAAATAATTTTAAAATAATACCCAGTATTACTGAGAATATATATTCCTACACTGTGAATTAGAGGGCCATTTGGCTAAATAAATAAATGAATGAATGAATGAATGAATGAATGAATAAAATGAACAAACACAGTGCTGTTTGTAATAGCAAAACACGGGAAATTACTGAAATATCTAACAGTAGGAAAATGCCTGAAGAAATTTTGCTACATACAAATGAAGGAATAGTATACAACTGTTAAAAATAAGGTTGTAGACACATATATGACATGGAAATTTGTTCACAATCTATCATTAAGTTAAAAAGCAGTTTGCAAAACACTATGTAAAAAGTCTGTTTTTGTTTAAAAATCAAGCAAAAGAATTATTTGTATATGTGCATAGAAGAAAAGGCTAAAGGACTTTACATTCAATGTTATGTAAAGCAACTATCTTTAGGTGGTAATTTTCACAGGTGATTTTTACCATCTCTTTTATGCTCCCCCCAGAAAATTTTATATAACAAATATTACGTCTGCAATTGGTTGTGGGGTAGCTTTAAACATTTCAAACCAAATGAGCAGCAAACAAAAACCTATGATGATTTAGAATTGTCTACTGACAGAGGAGCAAGAATGTTTTACAGTGCTACGATTAAATCCTGGTACATTCCAGGACTTTAGATTCAAAGGTTAGTTCAAAATAATTTACATGAGCCCTCATGGTACAGAATTGCCTCAAAAGTCTTCTGTTTTCATTTAATGTGAAGTATTTTTTACCCACACTATGCTAAGCCTTGTACAGCATTAAGTCCAGATGCAGGGAGGTGGCCTGACACATTCACACACATATTAGTGCACAGATGCCACTTTGGAAATAGAAATTCTCAGCCCTTTAGCCAACACTCTCCATGCCACTGAAATCTAACACAGTGTCTATGGAAAAATAATAAAGAGCTTATATCCTAGATTTGAATGTACATGGACAGATCCATCACGGGTTATTGAGGAGAAGTTAGAAATGTCTGGAGTAAATCTTTAACCTCTGGAGGGTGATAATGTCAGCATCTAGCCTTTTCTATTAGTGTCCTTTGCTGTTCCCCGCAGAATAGATCGGAGGGATCATCTTGTCTATGCATGTCTTCCATCTGGCACTAATCAATGCAGCTGGCTGAGTAGTGGACTTGAAAATTTAAAAAGACTGATGGTGAAAATGGCTGCAAGGTAGATACCTTAGTCTGGATGAGGACCCTTCATGTGAAACGAGACACCTTTCCCTGCCTGTCTTCAGCTGTTCCTAGACTATATATTTATTTTGCCCACAGCGAATGAGCCAGAGTCTCACACAAAATTAAGCTTAAACTTTAAGTCTAAAACTGCACCATTAGTGGTTGGACAGGGGAGAGAGTTCCAGGCTAGCTTAAAGCTACTCTCAGCAAATTCCCCCGGTAGCTGATTCAGCCTTGCCAGGATGGGTGTTTTGAATTACACAAAATTTAGCATAATCTAGAAAAATGACAGTGGCTAGAAGTTTAAGCACATCAGTTGCAGAACGACAACTTCAAGGAATATGCATTCTTAATGGTCTCCTACAGTCCTTTAAAAATCAATAGTGAATCCAAGTTAACCTACCCTTATGCATCACTATTATGTCTATTTTAAAATGGAAAATTGCAAAGCATTCTACAACCAGAGATTCTCCAGATACTTCCCTAGCCCACCATTCTTCCAGAAATGCAAATGACCAGGAGGTCACAGAACACACAACTCTTTAGCCTGACTGACTCACCTTGCTGTCGCTGGCCCTCCGGAAGCTTCAGGCTACAGGTGTGTAAACCGTGGAACAGGTGGCTGCTGCCTTCTCTGAGCACAGTAGACATGGTACTGGCAGTATGGCTGTGGCTCCAGTAGCACTAAGGCATTTCCTTCCCTTGGCCAGTCACCTAAAACAGTCTTCATAAGACACCCAGAACCACAGAGGTACGTGCAGATCCTGTCCTTGTGTGTAAAACAGTTACTTCTCTAATAACCTTCCAAGTATTTCCTAATCATGATTCTCGAAATAAATATTCACCAATATAACTTCCCCTACATTTAAAGATGCCTATTCATTTGGATAAAAACACAACTTAATTCTTCTTTCATTTCAAAGCACATTTCATAGCTCGAAGTATGCTATTTCCCTCTTATAGCATAAGATCCTACAAAGTAACTATTTCTAACAGATTACAGTTTGGGCATTTTTTGACTCCTGCTGTCATGAAATCTCATGCCCCAAATATTTAGACAAGACTGCTAGAGTAATACATACACAAGGAAAACAAGGTGCTGCTGAGTTAAATCAAGTGATTTCTAAGCCTGGTCTGTGGTACCCTCGGTGACAAGTGAAAGTGAACAGTTCTTAAGGGAGGCTGGAAGGAGGAGGAGCCCAGTGGGCTGGGCGATTAGCATAAAGAGGCAGGCAAAAAATGGCATTAGAGTTGCTTTGAGTAACAGTGACCAAAGCAGGGATCTAAAAAGATGTCATAACGTTACAGTAATCACATATCTGATTTCTGCTACTTTGTCATTAAGAGCTCAAAGCAGGGGTTTATACTGCTGTACAACTGGAACTGGTAATGAGCTCATGGAAATGTACTGCTAGAAGTTTCAATTGCTGTAAACACCTTCCAGTCTTCCCAGTTACAGAGCAGCCTGCCTGCCAAGGTAACTATTTGGTGTGCTGGAAGAAAAATAAACACACAAAACATTATCTTTCCAGAGATCTATCTCTGTTTCCTCTTATGCTCTCTATTGCTATTTCTAGGTCATAAGACAAAGCTATTTCCAGTGTTTTCCTGTGCTGCAAAATCATGTTTCATTGAAATATTAGAAATAGTTCATTTTTCTTTGAAATAATAGCATATTCATTAATGTTTAAAAATAATCCCTAAACACGTTTCATTTAACTTGGGAGCTTGCTGCCTCTGAAGTCATAATGAATGCTGGTAGATCCTCCCCTTTGTAGATTCAGAAAGGAGAAAGGAGAAAGGCAGAGCTGTTTAGCCATGACATCTGGTCCCTGCAGCTTCCTATGCATACTTGGAAATTGGTGCTAAACTTGACACCCTAACTAGAAAGTTACCTCCTAGACAGAACTGGGCGGACATCCTCATTTTACTTTGAGGTGATTAACAATTCTCCAAGCATATTTTGAGCTATGAGATCTCATGAAATATGTGATTGCACTTTCATAATTCTTATGACTTACTAAACTGCTTTTATTATTTTTATTATTTATTATAGTCTATCTCAGTTTTAGGCCCCTCACAGTGTAACAGGTTATAGAAGTATTTAGCTATTTGAAAGAGATTTCTGTTATTAGAGAACTGTAGTTTCTGCTTCAAATGACTGATATTTATCTTGTGCTTCACAATGATTCTGATGGAAAGCTGAGGCATTTTCTTCCTGAATGACATAAAGATATCAATATTCTACCAAGTTGTGGACCTCACTAATGAGTATATTATCACATAAGTAAATCAAATGACCCACAAAACTGCAAGCTAGCCCTTAAGAGAAATGGATTTTTGAAAAAAATGTTTTATGAGAAATTTAAAGTATGCATATGTATAATTAGATAGAATAGCATAATAAGTCTTATGCACCCATTACTGAGATTCGTTATCAACTCATGCACAATCGTGTTTCATCAGAGCCACTTTCCCCTCTCATTTCACCATTGGATTTGAAGCATTACAGAAATCATTGCATTTATAAACATTTCCAGATGTATTTCTAAAATGCAAGAACTTTGAAAAAAAGGACCATGATAAAGATTGTCATCTTTTTAATAATTAAACATGATTCTTTAATATAGTTAAATATCCAGGTGGTAGTCTTATTTTCCTGATGTCTGTATTTTTTGTTTCTTACATTTTATTTAAATCAAGGTCCAAAGGTCCACACGCTGTATTTAGTTAATATGTCTCTTAAGTCCTTTTCATTCTGTAGGTTCCTTTCTGAAAGAATATGTTCCTTGGGGGTTAATATCTACATTTACCTTAATTTGTGCCTGATTTTTCAAAAAAGCCCCCTAGATGCCTCCATTTTTCTTACTCATGCATAGATGTAAAGCTGGTTTAAAAAGAGAGGAAAAGGAATGGTTTAGACCATAGAGGCTAAAACATCCAGCTTTCTAGCTCTGGCGTTCCCATTAGTGTACCATGTGACCTTGAACCAGGTACTCAACATCTCATGGGTTCGTGCCTTCATTTGTAAAATGAAAGATGTTTGGTAAGCAATGAGAGATATTATTCAACATTCCTTCTCTGAATATGAAGACCTGAGAAAGGAATAATTATTCTGCTTTCCTTGGCTAGAGCCTGAGGAGAAAGAAATAGATTTAAAACTAAAATTCTAAGTAGGATTTGGGAGCATACTTGAAAATCTAGGCCCTCGATTCTTAAACCTGGTTGAGTACCATAATTACCCTAGGAACATCATAAAGATAGAGATCCCTGAGTCCCAACTGCAGAGTCTGAGGTCTAGGGTGGGGTCTGGAAAATACCTTTTTCTTTTCTTTTCTTTTTTTAACTTAACTTCCCCCAGCTTTATTGATATATAATTGATACATAACACTATATAAATTTAAGATGTACAACATGTTGATTTTATACATTTATGTATTGTACATTTATGTATTATATACATTTATGTATCACCATCATAGCATTAGCTACCACCTCCATCCTGTCACATAATTACCATTTCTTTTTTGTGGTGAGGATATTTAAAATCTACTCTCTTAGCAACATTCACATATATATCACAGACTATTATTAGCTATAATCACCATCTTAAACATTAGATCCCCAAACTTGTTGACCTTATAACCTTTGTACTCTTTGACCAATAACTCCCTAATTCCCCCACCCTCCAATCCCTGGTAACCACCACTTCGCTGTTTCTCATTTTTTTTTTTTTAAGATGGAATCTATATATTTTTAAAGCTTTCTTGTCAAAGTAAACAAGCATAACCTGCTTAAATAGGTCTGGTTTGCTCTACTATTTCATTCATTATGTCTTTCCTGAGGGCTGATGGAACCAAACAAGTGCTCCCTAAATGTTGGGAGCACTACTACTAAAGTAAAGGGGTGGGAGGACCCCAGGGAAGGCTTACTGCCTGGTTGCTCTGTGTCCCATGGTTGCACATCATCAAATCATCCCTGGAGAGTATTCTTGTGATTGAACACTTGAGAGGGACTCCTGGGGTCTTACACTGCATGTTGACTTACACTTCTGCTCTGGGAGGAGTCTCTGTTTTGACTCACCAGTTTCCATGGGAAATAAGCCAGTGTAGGAGAAAGTAGCATGATAGCAGAGCATATAAAATGACATTAGATTTATCAGCCATAATAAGTATCAGCTATAGTAAGCCATAGCCCTTACTTTTCAGAAACACCATCAAGTTAGTAATTCACAATGGGCATATCATACTTTGCTTTTTGTTTGTAAATAAAAAAGCAAGAAGTCAGAATGCAGAAAGTGAAGTCTGGTTGGGTCAAGAAACAGGCGAATAATATTTGGCATTTTTACTTGCAATTTGATTAAAAATGAATTAGAATCCTATAAAAACCAAGTTTCTTCCCTTATCATCTCTGTGATGCCAAAAAATGCCCCTGGTTTCCTCGGTCTGGGCTTTTTCTGCTCTCATATATTCTCTCTGGGATGGCACAGATAATCAGTCTTATCAGTTGGTGCTTTTAGGGTGCATACTGAAAAAATTGGTATTTTATGATTAGAATTGATTGCTCAGAAAGCATAATGCTTAGCTGAATAATATAAACGGTACTAAGTTTACAGGAGGGCTTTCTTTATTCAGTCGAATCATTTTTAAATGCAGGAACATATGCATTTTACATTAGTCCACAAGTTAAGTTTTTTGTTTAAATAATAACCTGTCTTATTTCAAAAGTATTTATGATATCTAGTCTACAAGTATATCTGCTCTTTGAAGGTCTTCGGAACGCTTTGAATGACAAGGATTACAAATAAAAAACAGCAGTATTACATTTATTACTCTTATCCTCAAGGAAAAGGATAAAAGACCCTCAACAGAATGAAAACCTGAAAACTAGTCTCACTGTGGTTCCCAAAACACTCAGGAATTATTAAATCGTCATTGTAGCTCCAGAATGATGAACTAGTGTTAAGACTTTAGTTTAGATTTTCTACTGATTTTAAATAAAAAAATCCCATGCTCCTTTATGTTGTAGGAGATTTTTTCCTAAATTATCCTTCCTTGACAAAAGACTTTATGGACAAGAACTCTGAGTTTCAGGATCTCATAGTGGCTTACGTAGCTTATGTAACACATATATCATGAAGCACAATCAAAGTGGGCTTTTGTGGCTGTCTAGAGATGTGTTACCCTAAGTGTCTGCATGTTTTAGCTCGAAGAGTTTCCCAGGTAGCACAGTTGGCTGGATTCCTATAATTGTTACTTGTAAAACATAGGAGATGTAATTGGCTACATTAAAGACTATCTTGCTTGAACACTTGCCCTTATTCATGGATTTAGGAGGCTACACTGGTCCAGTATCAAAGGGGCTTGCTATCTGAAATTGCTACCATTGATGTTTAATCCATTGAATACCAACATTTTGGTCTTCTTTAGGAGAAATATTGCCTCACTCCATAAACATTGCCTTGGCAGTTCAAACTAATTTTGGCCCTTTTGCAGATGAGTCTCAGATCTGGCTGCTGCAGGGCTCCCTCTGGAGGTAGCAGCGTCCAAGATCAGTTCCTAAAATAGCCTTGGCCTCAGCACAAGATAAACCCCATGTCTTTTCAGCCAATGCCCACAAGAACAGGGTCTTGTATTTTTGATCTTAGGAAATGATTATCTGTATCTGAGGATGTAGGAAAGTTACCTGATTATTCTTCTGTGGGTGAAATTTGATTATTGTTGTGTGCTGGTATTTAATCTCTGTAGCTTTACGTTGTTCTATCTTTATTGAAGCCTCTTAGCCAAAATGAAAACAAGAAAAAATAAAACTAAAGGTCAGAAAAATGTTGAGTTTTATTTTATTTGTTTTAAATGGCAAGGAAACCCAGAGTACAGTGGTTCTGGTCCCATAAGGTCCACCATCTGGGTAGGATCAAATGGTCCTAAAGAGTCTGAATTCCATCTGAAAGTGCTTGAAGTACACAGACAGTGGAGTCATTGGGTCTGCAGTAGAACTGAACTCTTTGAAGGTAAATACTTATTAACTGGAATCATTTCCAAAATAAAGCAAATCAACTTACACCAGATCAAACTTTTGTTACTTGAGTTGAATTTATATTTGCAGGAATAAATCATAACCAAACTATGTTCCTCCCTCC